GAAATGAGGTGTCCGTTTGAAGTCATGAACAATTATCTTGGACTGTTTTGCTTGAATGTACTTATTTGTTACAAAAGATTCTGCCTGGGATGAGAAATCATAAGGAAATTACAACATTTGGTGGAGAGAGGGGAGAGGGGAATGGAGGAGAGACAGAGACACTATCAGATAAATAGATCTGCATTTTTAAAAGATCTAGAGCAACAGAACATCACCTGAGGGACATGAATTTGATTTTTAAAAATATTTTGGTAACTACTTCAATATAATTGGTTTCCTTAGTAATCCTACGTGCTCTATTTTATGAATTTAAAAGATCATTCTGGGATAGGAACCAGAGGTTTCACAAGACTGCCAAAGGGCACCAAAACAGGTGAAGAACTCCTGACTGAGAGGAAGGGTCTCAGCACGAACTTAAAGAAGATGTACGGGACAGACAAGAGTTTTCCAGGCTGAGCAGATGGGAATGGGTTATGATATGCACCAGTAAAGTATTCACACTGGACAGTATAGCACTGCTCCACAGAAGGAGATGCCTATTCTGGATGACCACGAGATACTTTAAGTGATTTGACCAAGGTGACAAAGCCAGCCTGGGCCTGAGACTGGACCCAAATCTGGCCTTCCTCACTGCAAAGATAGGTCTCTATCCTCTATGTCATGCTGTCTCTCATGTGAGATTTAGATAGGATATAGAGATGAGACAAAGGGGGGAAAATTGAACTCATGGCCATGAAGACATTCACCAAAGGAGCAGGAAGAGAAGAGAGCCCAGGGCAGACAGTAGCTCTCAGACATGAGATTTGTTTGGAAGCTCCAAGAGCCATACATGCTATCATTCTCACTCTCGGTTTCTTTCCTATTCCTTCATTCAGGGATGAAGTAGTTATCTAACCAGCTGAAGAGCCAAATTATGTTCAGGCATAAATCTGAACATGTGCGCTTTTCCTGCCCTCAGAGCAAATTTTCTTAGGAATCCCAAATCACCTTAGAATCAAAGAGATCTTAACCTGTTAAAAGGGGGTAAATTGTGTCTCTATTTCAAAATAATTGTTTTCCTTTGTAAACTTCTATATTTTCGTTTATGTATTCAAAAACACAATGGTGAGAAGAGGTCCATGAGTTTCACGAGCCTGCTAAGAGGGTCTATGACAAACAAAAAGAGCTCAAGAACATTTGTTTTGGATATTCTGTACTTAAGTGTTTTATCCAATATCTCACAGTGAGCCAAGAGCCAAGACTGAACTAAAACTCAGTCTTCCCTATATTCAGTCTGGCGCTCTATCCTATCAACCCAGGGAAAAGGAGGAATCCTAGGCCATGGGATCTTAGATGTAGAGCTGGAAGGGGCCTTAGAGACCACCAAGTCCAACCCTTTTATTTTACAGATGAGGAAAGCAAGGCAGAAGGAGGTTAAGACTTGTCTCAAGTCACCACAACCACTAAGCATCTGAGGCAGAATCTGAATTAACTCCTTGTTGATTCCAAGCCTACTGCTCCTCGATCCACTGAGCCACCTAACTGCCTCTCTTCCCCGGAAGGGTGAAGGGGTATTACAAATGGAGCTGGTCAGCAGCAGCACACTATCAAGAGCTAGTTAAGAGGAGACAATGGAGAAAGATTAGAATGAAAAGCGCTATGCTAATGGGAAGAGTGACAGGGAGGAGGAGGCATCATATCCAGGGACTGATGGAACAAAGAGAAAAAAATGTCAGGGAGAAATAATGAGCAGACAAGGCAGGCAAAGTTACAATGACACACAGGGCCCAGAAAAAGTTCCGCCTGGTCATCTCTGCCCAGGAAATGCTGAGCTTGCTGTCTTCTGTCTTTAAAGCCACATCAGTGCCTCTTGGCTGATCAGAGGTTCAGTGGCAAGCCAGCTGAAGAATGCTATGAGCTGCGAGCCAGGCTTCAAAAGGGGAATATGAAGATAGATGGTTATGTATGAGGTTTGGGCAAGTACAGGCTGAACCATTATTTACTTTGTATTAAGACTGATGGGATGTCCATAACTTGTGTCAGTGAACACAAGCCCCTTCGCCATCAGCAAGACGCCAAGAGCAGCTTAAGGGAAGGGAGAATGGAGGCCAGGGTGGAAAGAGGCCTCCTGCGATCCGACCCCTCCAGAGCAGCACTTCTAAGGCTCTCCCAATCAGCCAGCTTAGTGATCCACACAGCACTTTCTTCAGGCAAGATGGGCTTTTACAGTTTAAATAGCCTTCAGTAACTAGTTTAAGCATTGTTGAACATGCTGTGGGATATCTTGCTTTACAGGCAATGGGCTCCAAAAGGAAAGAGAACAGAAAAGTGGGAAAACTTTCTGTTCAATTACTGTTATGAAGGAAACAAGACTGACTCGAGGAAACAAAGGTTGAGATTACTTTTCTATAAATATATGCTTAATATTATTAGGGACGCTGCCCTTAACTCGGAAGGGCCAGGATTCAAGATTATAATACTAATCTTCGTCTTTGTAATACAAATGGAACTAATATCACTTCAGCTTTCAGACCCTCAGTTTCCAAACCTGTAAAAGTCATGGGTTGGTACAAGACTGTTTAAGGCCCCCTCCTACTTGGAACGTTTTGGCAAATTTTAATATAAAATTATTATCAACACATAGACTATGTTTTTAAAATACTATACTATTTTATAGATATACTACAGTATTTTAATACAGTACACAGTAAAATTACACAATAAATTTGATTATACTTGGGAAGAGTTATCTGTAACTCTTTCGTTTGTAAATCTTACACAGAAAGGATTATGTTGGGGGAGGAGGGAATAAGTGAGTACATAGTGAGAGATGTACCAGCAAAAGCATCAATAAGACATTTTGAAAAACAAAAAGGGGAAAATAAAAAGTTCAAAAAGGAAGACAAAACAGCGATTTCGACATTACTGGGAAAAAGTTATTTATGTTTTAAAAGCTGATGTTTTCAAATACAGTCCTCTTTTTTTGTATGAAGAAACATCCATTTTTGTTGATGGTTAAGCTGATTTTTTTTAAAAAGAACATGTAAATTTTAATAATCCTAAGCACCTATGTTCCAAAATACTATACACTGAGAATGTTATTTTTGATTAGCTCATACCAATGGTTCTTTTTGGGATCACTGTATCAATCATCTTAGCAGCCTTTCTACAACTGCAAAATGGGGAACTGGTGGGGTCGGCTAGGTGGCGAAGTGGATAGAGCTCCAGCCTTGGAATCAGGAGGACCTGAGTTCAAATGTGGCCTCAGACACTTGACACTTACTAGCTGTGTGACCCTGGGCAAGTCACTTAACCCTGACTACCTAACAAAAAAAGCAAAAAACAAACAAACAAAAAGACAAGCTCTGGAAAATAATCATCCAAACTCAAAGACAGTCCAGAGAAACGCAGGAAAAGGAAGGAAAAGGAAAGAAGAGAGAGAAGAAGGGAAGGAAGGTGGAAGGGAGGGAAGGAGGCAAGAAAGGAGAAGGGAAAAGAAGAAGGCAGGGAAGAGAGGAAGGGAGGTAAAAGGATCCCATAATCACTAACTCATTTACAGCAGCATCTTGTTGAGGGTGGCAAAGGATTAAAAACATAACAGGGAAACTACCCAACAATTATAGGACATGAGAGCAATGACATATTGCTGAATCCCAAGCAATGAAGACTAGTAACAAAACATAAAAGTAAAGGAATATTCAGGAACTGATGAAGAATAAATTAAGTAGAATAAGGAAAATCATATAAAATGTTCACAATAAAGTAAATATAAAAAATAAACAAACCCTAATTGATCAATATACAATTATAACAACTAAGCCTGGCCCTGGAGAAGTGAATATGCATTTCCTTCCCTTCTTTACAAAGGTGGAGAACCACGGGTGTGGAACACTGCATGTACTTAAACAGTATGGTTTAGTTTTGCAGAAATGCCTTCTTCTCTCTTTCAACTTTATGTTAAAAGGAATAGCTCAATGGGGAAAGTAATGTGAAAAAATACATTTGGGAATAAAGGTGATATAAAAATAAGATCTCAATGAAAATAACACTTTAAAAATAAAAATAACCATTTACCATAACCACAAACTAAGTGAAAAAACCAAAACTAATTTCTAACCACCACACAGATTTAAAGGGCATGTGTCCATTCTAATTTTTTTTTTCTTGCAATGCCCTTGAGGGATTAATAAAAATAGACTGTTTACACTTGAGGCCAGGAAAACCCCAGATGCTTTTCCTAAATTAGCATAGCTAATTAGCTAAAAACTCCACACACCACCAGCTGGCTTGGGTACCGATTAACCTGTTACCTAATAAATAATTTTAAAGCACTTAGAAATAAAGATCTTTACAATGCAGAGACCTTGTATAGTAAATATAACTATGCAGAGAGCATGTGTAGTATATATAACTATGCACGCAGAGACTATATATTTTAAATGCATATTAAACACACTTATGTGCATAAATCCCATATATTTTATGACTGCAGCCCAAATGGCAACACTCTTTTTACTAGATACCAGTTGCTCATATGCCTACCAACATTAATTTATATTTATTTGTGAACATGTCTTATTCCTCCTCCAAAGCCTTCTAGTCCACATGAGCTCCTTGAGGGCAGGGCTACATCCCATTCATCTTAGTTAGGATCTCTAGGTGCTTGGCAGGTAAATACTCCATGTAAACATCTGTTAAATCAGGTCAGCTGGAAAACCCAACATGTGAAGCGGCCCCTTGTCTATCATCCGCATGGCAAACTCAGACAATAAACCTGAGTCTTCATTAAAATGTACTTTCTTTCTAAACTGTCCCAAAACTTGAATGGCCTTTTTATATGGTGTACTCAAGTACTCTGAATTTCAGGTTTCTAATTTAAATCATGTCTGTTCATCGTCACATTTGAAAAAAAAAATTCCCATGAAACTTCAGCTGCCTTGTGACAAAAATAATAAAGCTGCATGGTCTTTAATTCATATTTAAGAAAATTTAGGCAAAATGGGAGCAAGCAATATAATTACCTGTTTCTCCCCATAATGTGTCTGTGCCATTGACATCTACTTCATATTCCTTTTCCATTCCCAGCAAGCACTGGACCACCTGTCAAAAACAGATAATTTGATGAGTAATAACAGTACAAGAGCTTATTATATCCCATGAATCACAAGAGACAAAATTTCAGAAACAATCACTAAGCATCCAGCATTATTTTTCATGTAAGGGGAGATATAACATTGGCAAAACAGATCTCAAACCCAAACCTTAAAAAAACCTTAAAATTGCCTTTATTAAGAATTAAAGCAATAACCATCTCAAACGGGTATTCTTAGAACTTTAGGATTCTATGAAATTCCAGAATGATCTAAGTACAAAAGGCAAATCAACAGAGAACACCATCTATCATACAAAGGACTGTTTCTGCCTAAGCCTCAAGAGTAGGACTAATTTGTTTTCCCACAAAGAAAGCCAAGCTGAATGTATTTCTTCACTACAGGTAAGATCCAAGCAGCATCGTTAGCTCATTATACTACAGAAAAACCCTTTCTCTTTCCCTAAGGGAATCTTTCCATCCAAGAGAGCTTTAAGCTCTCCCACTGTTCTCTAAGGAGCAAAGACAGAAAGTAGCACTGTCTTTGAGATCAACTGAAGTGTCCGGGTGCTGAACTATTGGCCTGTCGATGTAATGAGGTGGAATTGGCTGCTTTCACCTCATCAACCGTGATGGGAGCTAGAAGGACATGAAGGGAGAAGAACTTTTATTAGCATGAAGGAATCTCTGATTCTCCCTCAAGTTTCACAGTCCATAACCCTCAACTCATTTGGTAAAAGAGTCCTATCTTTTAAATCAAATAGTTACTAGGTATGTCAAGTTTTCCCTTGCACAGCATTCCTTCCAGGCTGATTTAAATACGAGGTGATAAGGAAGTTCTGTTTACCCTTCTCTCAAGTTGGATTTTAAAACGTTAGCACCAAGTGAAAAATTGTAATTCAATAAAAAATCCTTCATTCTTTCATATATCTATATCTATCTATGTGTGTACACACACACACACACACACACACACACACACACACACACACACAGATGGGGGGGGTGCATGCACGTGCGCACATAGGTTTGTAAGAAAGGCCAGCAACAAACTGAATGCAAAATCTGCCTTATAGCAGAGAAAGTCAATCTGAGTCAAAATATAGGAACTTAGATATCCAGTTAGATAGTGGAGATAAAAAAACAAATGCTACAAATAAAAAATGAAGTAAAGATGTTGGATTAACAGGAGCTGGAAGAGGAAAAAGAAAAATTTAGCTCGAGTCTAGATTTGAATAGAAATATGAACAAAGGGCACCTGGCCTAAACAGGTCTTATTACAAGTTCAAATGCTCAATCTGAGCTATGGGCAACATTGGTGGATATCTCTGAACAGTCCAGACAGTACTTTCTGCTTTTCAGGTTTCAAAGTTCTACGCTGTTTTTCCTTAAAGACTGCCAGAACAACCACGATCCTGCTGTGAAGGCCTAGATTTTAAAGTCCTTCAAGTATTCATGAACCATTTTAGAATGGAGATTCCAAATGACTAGCCACATTCCTAGTGGACCAAAAAAGGAGGAAAAAAAAAGGTGGAATGACTAAAGTGAAAAGAGTAAACGAAGAAAAAGAGAAGAAGGAAGAGCTGAGCAAGATAAGAGTGAAGACCAATGCCAGTTTCACTTGCCTGATTAATAAATGAGAAATCAAGATTAAAAGACACTTGGGCTTCAAAGTTAACTAGCTATGTTCCTGACCGGTTTACTTTCATGAAACACTTGAACATTGATCTTGTGGGAGTTTCACCTGACAAAAAGCCTCTTCCAAGAATCTACATTTTTTAAAAGTTCTAAATTTTTCTCTTTTCTTTTATATTTCACAGGCATTATAATTAGAGAAATGGCATTCCCATTGAAAATGCTATAAATGTACATTCTCCTACAAAACTTAAGGGAAAAAAAGAGATGACTTCAGTAGCACCAAGTTTGGAAGGATTTTTCCAACTAAATCAGTACTTACCTCACTGTGCCCCATACTAGAGGCTGCAGTCAATGCCTGCTGAAGGGCCTGGCTTTTCCTTAACATGCTTTGCTGATGAGTACTAGCTGTCCAGTCATAATTCAGCAGGAATTTAAGGATGTCGCAGTGTCCCCGTAAAGCACTGTGTACTAATGCACATTGGCCTTTCTTGTCCAGGTGATCAATCTACATTAGGGAAGGAGGAAAAAAAGAACCACACCATCCGACTGTTATACTTCTGAAAGGATTACAGGAGTACCATGATTAAGAAAAGAAACATTCCAGAAGTACTGTAAGCAACTCAAATTACATTTCAAATGCACTAGAGGCCCTCATTATTTTAAAGTAAACACAGTGACTCTGTAAATCTGAACCTTTCTCTGAAATGCATGCAACTATTCCCTAAATAATGAGTCATAAATTCACATTTCCATGGCTCAGGTTTCAGCTTGGAGTACTGTACCATCCGTATGAAAAATGAATTAGGAAGGGTCTGTGTGACTGTCAGACAACATGAGCTGCCCAACATGCTCCAGGCCTCAGTTTCCTCATCTACTTCCTCTCTAAAATTACAGGATTGGACTAGATGATCTCTAGAGGTCCCTCTTGCCTTTAAATCCTTGAACTATGAGAAACCTTCCAAAATCATTCCTTACTCTATATGTTACCCAAACCAACATAACTTCTAAATTCCCTTGAAAATCTACAAAACCATAGACTAAAAACCCACACAAAATCTAATGTAAAAAGTTTTGATTTGCTGGCATACTCGTGTCTCAATTTGCTTGGACATATATGGACCCAGGAGATAGCCACAGGACGTTTCCATGCTCACCAGTAAAAACTAGGATAGGGAGCAGCAATGGAAGGGTTAGGAAAGAGAGGTATCTGAACAGCACTTCATTAGAGTGTGAGCTCATAAAACGCTATCTACTCTAACTCCAATTTTTAATGGATACTTCCTAAATATGATAGAATCAAAAGGCGACATAGGCCAGTAGTTCTTGAATAAGTGGTCCTATCCCAGAACATATGAGCCAGGAGTTTTTAAGTAACAACGGAATACGGAAGATATTTCTGTCTTCTACATTCCAAGAACCCATGTCCCTAGATACATGTATAAGAAATTAGGTTACTGTTTAAAACCATAGCATTTAGGAATATATGAGTCATGCCATGGAATAAGACTATCTTAAATTAATCTTAAATGTAATTCCAAATATACTTGCCTTTGTAGGAAACTGCAGGCCCACTTGAAAACTACAATCACAGCCCCAAGAAAAGGCCTCAAAGCCCACAAAAATGCTTGTCCATGCCACCATGATGGCTAAAAGGGATAGCATATCAAGTTTCCAGAAGGAAAAGGGAAGGGAATAGGCATTTACTAAGTACCTACTATGTTCCAAGCACTGTACAAAGCTCTTTTTACAAATATTATCTCATCTGATCTTCACAACAATCCTGTGATGCAGGTGCTATTATTATCACCCCCATTTTATAGATGAGCAAACTCAGGCAAACAGGTTAAATGACCGGCTCATTGTCACACAAAAACTATCTGAGACTGGATTTGAACTCAGGTCTTAAGGGCTCCAGTTCCAGCACTCTATCCACAGCACCAATAGCTGCCTCTGAATGGATGCTATTGTCAAATTAAGGTAGCATCATTATGATTCCAGATTCAGCAAAACCCCATTTTATTAATATAATTTTTAACAAAAATGATTCAGAAAATCTGAAAAAATATTTACGAACCACTTCTGTCATTTTTACTTTATTTTACTTTACATTCTGTCATGCTTGTCTATCAGAATTTATTAATATGGGGAAAAGTCAAAGAAAAATGGAAAGTTTTCACTCCTATTATTATTCAAAAAGAATCTCTTCCCTTAACTAAACTCTCATGATAAAATTATTCAAATCAATCTATATAAAATGACCTTCATCAACTACCTGCTCCCATGACTTTGCTCCCTGGGCATAGAATATCCTCTTTCCCCTTTGCAGCATTCAGAATGTCTTTCCAACCCTTACAGCCTAATTCAAAAACACCTCCCTCATGAAACCTTCCCTGACCCCCCCCCCCTTTAGGAACAAGCTTCTCTCCCGAATCTCACAAAGCACATTTTTGTTTCCTCTGCACATAACATAAAACGTCATGTAGCAAAATCGTCTATGGTTCTCCTATCCTCTCCCTTACCAGAACGTAAGCTCCAGGAAAGCAGGTCCAGTTCTGCAACAATACTGTTGGCCCTTCATAGGTACATAACAGATGTATATTAAACTCAATACCGACCCACTACTTTACAAAACAGGATTTCAGAATCACCGAACTGTAAACAAGGGAGTGGCCCTGGCAACCGTCTTGTCCAACCAGTGCCTGCAGGGAAGAATCCTCACTTTAACATCGCTTCCAGAGAGGGTCGACTAGCCTTGGCTTGAAGACCTCCAACCAAGGGGAACCAAACAGGTTCATGGCAGTTCAATCCACTTTTGGAGAGTTCCAATTCTTAGAAAGTTGTTCCCAATTTCAAGCCTAAATTTGTTTCTTTCTAACTCTTGCCTGCCACTTCTAGTTTGTCCCAGTAGAGCCGAACAGTACAGGCCTAATCCCTCTTCCCTATGATAGCCCTTCAAATACTTGAACCCAGTCATCATATTCCCCCCAAATCTTTTCTTTGCCAGGCTAAATGTAACAGCTAGCACTTTATATAGTGAAGGTTTGTTTGCAAAGCACTTTTATTTCCTTATTTCACAACCCTGGGTTAATCCCTATTATTAATCCCATTTTAGAGTTGAGAAAACGAGCTAGGTGGCACAGTGGATAGAGCACTCAGCCTGGAGTCTGAAAAGTCTGTATTTAAATCCAGCTTGAGACACTTACTAGCTGTGTGACCCCCGGGCAACTAACAGCCTCTGTCAGCCTCAGTTTCCTCAACTGGAAAGTAGAGATAATAATAATAGCACCTACCTACCAGGTTGTTGTGAGGACTACATGAGATGATATTTATAAATATTTATCAGCCTAGTGCCTGACACACAGGCACTTAATAGATATTTGTTCTCTTCCCTGTTCATTGTACCACCTGGCTACTCACTTCTTTCAGTCTATTCTAATACAACATGGACTGCAGGTCTCTCACTATCATAGCTACCTTCCTCTAGATGGTAACTCACTTACTGATGTGAACCTTGGTGCCCAGAAGTGAAAATTAATGCTCTAGAATTCAGCACTTCTTAAACTGTGGGTCACGACCCCATATGGGGTTGCAAAAAATTTGGCAACAGTAAAAGGTTTCTGAATACACAATGACCAAAAATTAACTCAAAATCAAATGTATAATAAATCGGAGGTGTTTCTATCAGCACTTGCCCGTGTTGCATCGTGCACCTTCACTGCAGCCTTGGTTCTGAACAAACAGAACGCACACTCTGCACTGCTCATGTCCCCACACAACACCAATGAATGCTGCTGAAACATGAAAAGGGGTTGTGAGTGGAAAAAGTTTAAGAAGCCCTGATCTAGATGAGGTCTGACAAGGAGAGAAGGGAGTACGGCTATCTCTTTCTTATTCCTAGCTGTTATACTCTTAATGCCTCTTCCCAAGAGATTTGCTTTTGAATATTATGAAAGCAAAGCAGTCTTAAAGCAAGGCAGAGCTCATTTTAACCTGCCTTAAAAGACAAATACCTAAAACTCAAAAATGAAGGATAAATACTGTATCTTGAACACCTTATAGTCAACTTGGGTACTATGCCAGGTTGGATGTCAAGCTACCAGGCAGCTGAAAGAAAATCCTAGCAGCAACACCTCAATGCTTATAAATCCAGCTGCCAGCCACTTTTAAAGTAATCCAGACTCACCTGCAGTATTATATCTCTTTTTGCAGACTAAGAAAAGCATCCATTAATGAGCAACCCATATGGTGAATCTCTCTGCTAATATACTTACAACTCAGAATGAACAGAATGCACAATAAAACACCCAAAATCTGCAGCAAAATCTGTTTTTTCTTCACACTGCATTTTTTTGGGTCAAATTTTACAAAGCAGGGACAAAAGACTTCTCCTACATATTTAAGACACACACACTCTCACACTCACACTCACTCTCTCCTCCCAACCCTCCATTGTTATCAGGATCAAAGATGAGAAGAAATTAATAGTCTGCTCCACTTTGGGAAACAAGTACTCTCTGTCTACAAGTAATGTAACAAAAATATATCTTGTGTGCTCCTGCCACTTACCCTTGCTCCCTTTCGGGACAGCAGAGAGACTATATTCATATGGCCAGCAGCTGCTGCATAGCAGAGTGGGGTCATGCCGTTCTCTGACATCCCATCCAGGCAGGCTCCAAATTCCAACAGAAGAATGACCACTTCCTCATGGCCAAGGTGGGACTGGACACATAACACTGGGGCGTTGTTCAAAACTTCCGTCCTGTAGTTTACATTGGCTCCCCCCAAGATCAGGAGACGGCTTACCTGTGGGACAATTACCAAACAAGCTTTGTGTATGTTATACGCTTTTAAAAAAAATTCACCAACAATCTCTACATGTTCTCTTATTCTTTTGTTAAGATTTGAAAACCTCACGACCACTAACAATGTAATTTCCTAAACTTTCTCCTCTTCCACTTAACACTTTAACTGCAACGTGAGAACCTATTATTCTATCCTTATAATGAAGTTATGATCAGAGAATTAAACAACTACGTAGCAAGAATAAGGCTATGGCTCCAGACATGAGAAAGGCATGTGTGCTTTTCATTCATCAAGACAAATGGAGGAGGAATTTTACTCAAAGGAAAAAAAGGCAAAGATTTTTAGTTTGCCCCTGAGACTATGACTGCTGAACAAATTCCAAAAAAGCAAGCTGGCTGTTTGGCCAGTCGCTACATCATCACCTACAAAATAATTCTGTTGCAGATGTTGCTGAAAGCTGGTGGTCTACAGAGAAATTGTTTTCTTTTTCTAGAACCACTTACAGTATTCACTAGCTTAGAAACAGCCAGAACTCATGACAAAGTAGCCACTCCTTTATGCTTATTTCAATTTCCGTTTTTTGGATGGAAACTGTTCCATACAGGGTCACAAAGAGCAGGCACAGCCCCAGCAACAGTAAACTATAAAGGAACTGGTCAAAAAAGACATTTCCACAAAAATTTTGTAGTTTGAAGCCAGAAAACAATACTTCCAAATGCAGACAAAAAGAGACTAATTTATTCTCTAGTGAGACCCCCTAGCAAGGGTTGGTCACATGTTATGGAATTGCATTGATTAAAAATTAAATTTTTTAAAAGGACCAAAAAAATTCAATATGGTGAAATCACATCTAATATCTGGGTCACTGGACCCATAAAGTGGAAAATAGCAGCGAGAAGGAGAGAAGCCTTGTATGAAACGATGCAATGAAAAGCAGACAGAAAACAGGAAAGCAATTTACATAATGACTACAATAATATAAAGGAAAACAACACTTAGAAGCTTCAGAACTTGGATCAATGCAGTGTCTAATTGTGATTTCAGAGCACTAATGGTGAAGCACGTATTGCAACCCTCAGCAAAGAAGGGGTGGATTAAAGGGGTGGAATGAGGCAGGCATTTGCAAATGTCACCCCATGCTGGTTTTGCTTCACCACACTTACAATACATGGGTGGGCTCTTTGGGGGACTGAGTTGGATAGAGGGGGAGGAGTAAATAAGAACATCAGTAAGATATTTTTAAAAATGTATCTGAGGTACAATGGAGATGAATTCAAAACCCTACCATCAACATATAACAACTTCAAGGTTACTGAAAAAACTGCAGGCAGAGGTTACCTAAATGTTCATTCACCAGGAAGAGAAGTCAGTCAAAAAGGAAGAATAAAGAACATCTGGGCATCACTTTGCAACTGTGCTTTTCTAAAAAATATCTACATATACAGTACTGCGGCAACTTACAGATTATTTGTTCCCTTAGGGACTATTCTATAAAATCCTAGCTATCTTCTTCATCATAAGTACTGGTTAACAAAAAACTTTTTCTCAAAACAACCTGTATTTTTCTTAGCTTTACACCTACACACTCTCTGCCTTCCCCAAACCCATCCTCAACCTCCCCAGTAACATTATAATGGGCTGGATGAATTCAAGTTTCGAGAACACAAATTCTTGTGAGTGCTACACACATCCACACAGAGAAGAAGCCTGGATGATGTTTTCTGGGAATCTGTCACCACTGGGGCCTATGAAGGTCTTCTAGAAGAATCTCAAGCTTGGGCACAAAGTCATAGATCACAATAAGAAGTCTTTACGGCATATGGTATCAGAAAAGCAATACTATGAACCTTCCATCTCCACTTTACCATTCTGGTTTTCATATTATTAACATGAACGTTCTTTGCTGTTAAATTGTAACATACCCTCAGACTGTGACTCACCTGAGGGCAGCTTTGTAACAACAATAACAACTACCTTTTGTATATCCTTTAAGGTTGGTGAAGCACTTTACAAATACAATCTCATTTGATCATTACAACAATCCTTGGAAGATAAGTGGTATTATAATCCATATTTTACAGATAGGTAAAGTGAGGAAAAGAGGGGTCAAGTGTATCCTATGAAACACCCAGTACCCATCACCATGTCTTGCATATTGTAAGAGCTTTTATATTTTACCTTTTTACTATATAAATTTACTATTTTATTTTTAATTTTAAATATTTTATGTTACACTGCAAAAATGCCAAAAGCACTTTTAACCAGCCTGTGAACAAGGGATAACTAAATGAGGCCTTCTCCAGCAACCAATCCTTTACCATCCATCACCATTTCTGTCCATAGCAGAAGAGAAATCACAGCCTCTTGCCTCCAGCCAGGAGTCCTCTAACCTCTAGGCACCCCCACTCCTATATAGATCTTTAGCTGTTAATAGAAACTGGTAGGATGCAGGGAAGGTTATGGCAGGCACTATAATGTCTTTGGGAAGGAGCTATGCGTCAAGAGGCTGAGATCCTAGATAGAGATCTACCACTACTAACTAGCTTGGCAAGTCAATTAACCTTTCTTTGTACTTTGATTTCATAATTAGAGAAATAGAGAAGGGAAAGAGAATAAGCATTTATATAGTACCTACTATGTGCCTAATACTATGCTAAGCACTTTTTTAAAAACAAATATTCTCTTACTTGATAATAGGATAATACCATCTAAATTATTTATCTACCAAATTTTGAACAACAAATGAACATATTGGTCTTATTTTTCCTAACAGCCAAAGAAACAAGGCACTAAATTATTTAGCAGAGCACCCCAGTAATAATAACCTAAATTTTACCTCCAACTCTTTTACTTGGGTATTGAAATTCTCTCCCTAGATATAGATCAATTTCTTCAAGGCCTGGTCTAGTTCTTCTGAGGTCCTCGGCCTCAGATCACTTGCTCCTTTATATGACATCTATAAAATTTTCATTCATTTATGCTTGGTATACTTCCCAGGAAGAAAATATCTAATCACACTGGCCCAGTGTTGTTTTTCTTTTAACTGATATGGGAAATTCATTTGCTCTATCATCTGATTTTATGAATCACTCTTTAAAAAGCTGGATTCCAGTTTTCACATAATGTGCTCTTCCAAGAATCACAGAATGCTGGGCTCGAAAGGAATTTCAGAGGTCATCTAGTCCAGTACCAAGAAACTTGGCTTCCTTCATATCTGCCTTACAGATATGAAACATTAAGAGAATGTAGTATATGGCAGAAATGAGGCTTAGACCAATCACTTATGACATATTCTACAATATATTTTAAATGGATATGGGACCTTAATATTAAAGATCATATTATTAAAAAAAAAGAAAAGCAAATCATAAAAAAAGGAATGTAGTATGCAAATTATACTCAGGTAAGTGTGATTCCAATTCTTAACAAAATCTTAAAAAGGATCATTGAAGGGAATGGTTAGTGAACATCTAGAAAGGGTGGTGGAACACAGCAAAGAATCAGCATGGCTTCATCAAGAACAAGTCAAGCCATGGGGGCAGCTAGGAGGCACAATGGATAGAGCACCGGCCCTGGATTCAAGAGGACCCGGGTTCAAATCCAGCCTCAGACACATAACACTTACTGGCTATGTGACCCTGGCCAAGTCACTTAACCCTGCCTATTGAAAGAAAGAAAGAGAAAGAAAGAAAGAAAGAAAGAAAGAAAGAAAGAAAGAAAGAAAGAAAGAAAGAAAAAAAAACAAGTCAAGCCGGATTAACCCTGTTCATTTTTTCTGACAGGGTTGCCAGAACAGGTGAATGTGATAGATATTAATTTACCTACCTGTCAGAAAAGCGTTTAATAAGGCCTTTCATGCTATTCTCATAGAAAAGAAGAGATCTGAGGTAGAGGTACAAGTGAAGTATAATTATGTGGATTGTAGCAAACAGAAAAATTTACAAATTTAGGTTTGAGTTATTGGGAAAACTTCCTAACATAACTATCCAAAGTGAAAATGGGGAGGGAGGACATGGGCAGGGAGGAGACTATAAATCTTTAAGTCAAAATTGCTGTTGAAGTACAATGTTGAAGGGATTCCTTTTATTCAGGGATTGGTTGGCCTATAGGCACTCTTAGATACCATTTATCTCAGATCTTGTGACTATGTGAACCCAACAGGCAGAAGGGGAAAGCTATTTCGCTGACTACTAGAAGCCCAACTTGTCTTTTTTCTTTATCTCAGCACATTTCCTTAAAAGATATTTTACATTAATCAATAATAACGCTACAAAGAGGCCTGAAGAGACCAAGAGAGTTCACACAACCTAGCTGTTTCAGAAATTCATGACAGACATTCCCTATGAACAACTGTTTATGGTCTCACCCAAAAGTCCTCATGCGACTATGGCAAATGGATATGTAAGCTTCTAGAAATGAGACTCATCCTTAGTGGAATGAAGGCTTCATGACAGTGCTCCTAACTACTTCCAGGACGACCCATGAAGCAACAGCCCCATTTCAAACTGTGCTGTGTTCAAACAGGGGGATATGCAAATAGTTACACTACATTCCATAAATTATGGGGAGCTTTTCAAAAACAGTCTCCAAGTATGTTCCAGAGGTGAAAAGAATTGACACCATGGAGCTGCTACATTTATTTCTTCAAACAAGTCAAAACTGAGACAGTTGTTTTAAATTTTAAGAAGCTTAAAAAGCTATTTATAACTCACCAAAAGGTCTATTTGTCGTGACAAGATCATCTATGAAAGTAAAAACTGGGGGGTTCTACTCCTGGACAATACCTGGAAATGAAACCTTTTAAGTCCCCTCCTCAATATATTAAATGTTACAAATAAATCAAAAGGAGCCAACATAGTACCCTAAAGAGCTTTGCTGGCTAACCACCCCTGTGAGCAGGAAACCACAGCCCATAAGCCCAGGTGGTTCCCCAGCTGTGAAAGACTCCCATCCTGAAGTCCAAGGTTTCCCTGGACCAATTCCAGGTCTTGAAGGTACCAGATGAAACCTAGGTTCTCTCTCCTGTGGGGAAAAAAAAAAAAAAGGCTCTGATCTGCTGCAGAACACAGATCGCCTGAAAAGAAAACCAACCTAAACAAAAACATCACCTCCCCTAACCCAGGGTATGAACAGATTGAAATCTCCAAGGTGGAAGCTATCTGGAAACAGATTCTCCGAGGCTCAAGTCGAGGAAGCACCCTCTCTGTCTAGCAAGTTATTTACACACCAGGCTATGTGAACAAAACAATTCACCCAGTGCCTTCAAATGCCAGGGAAAATAGCGGGTCCTTTAAGATTCCTGGCTGGGGAAAAGAGGCTGAGTGGTACAAAGGGCAGAGAGTCCAAACTGAGAGACTGAAATATGTTTGCCAAGTCAGTGGAACTCATTCTATTTAAATAAATAAAAATTTACCATGTAATCTTTCCCTAACGAGTTAAATCACTTTAATTTACCCAAGTGGCAAACTGTGATTAGCGATCAAAATGGCATACTCATTCCTGTTATAAAAACATTTAATACTCTAAAAAAAGTCTCTTAATTGCACACACTATTTTAAATTGTTGTAATTTGTTCAAGATTCTGTGAAGCATACAAAACTTATTTTTCCTTTCTTTTTAAGGATAACAAAAATAAGAGAGAAGGAAAAAGTGAAAAGTGGGTGATTTCACGAACAACTTACATCATTGTTTAGTTAGGGGTAGGCAGGAAGTAGGTGTTTAAGAGTGAAATTTTACAAAATCAAAACCTCCAAAAGATCTCAAAACTATTAGGGGCAAAAAAAGGAAAGAATTTATAGTCAGGTGGTCAAACTCATTATATAAATTACCCTTGTTAATTTACTGTTTGGAAAATATTGTTCATCAAAAAGAGACTTCACATTTAATTTCTCCATTTTTTAAATTACAAAGGTAACAGAAGTAAAAGTAGTACATATCAGAGAAATTAAAGGAAAAAATGACAAGTTTGCACCGCTGACAATGCATTAAGTAACAGTGACTCAGATAAAAGAGTAAGAAATTTGGAGCTGAAGGAACATCTGAGATGACATCTATTCCTACCCCCATTATTTGATGGATTAGAAAACTGAGGCCTAAAGAGATTTTAAGCAACATGTTCAAGAAAGGTAACAGGGTCTTAAACATGGTTAATTATTTAAATGATATTCCAATAATTTTTACTTTTTTTTACATCTTTTCATTCCAATAATTATTTTTTACCATTTCTTAGTTTTAAATTCAGTATACACCTAAACTTATGAGAAGTTGACAAAAGTCAACAGTCTATTTCATGTAATGATGTAATTCTTAAATTCTAATTCTCTCTTCCTTTTCGTACATTATAAATTTCTGCTCAGAAGAAAGGTTGTGTATTTGTCATTGATGTTAAAACAGTAACTACAACTCAGATTTCAATAATATCTAAGATGCTAAAAATTCTAGATGTGATAGAACATTATTTCTTTGTTATGTATCCCATGCAATCAGAAAACTGACCACAGCAATCTAGAAAACAACAGAGTCTCCTACCTTCCTACAGTACTTCTGCTTAAAAGGTTAACAAGTTGTCTTTAATAAGAAGCAACAGTGTAGAGTAGGCATTCCTTCGAGTTCAGTCAAAACTCAACAAACATCTATGAAGTGCCTACTATGGGCAAGGCTCCATCTTAAATGCTGGAAGCTTACAATCTACTGGATGGATGTAACACGTACACAAAATACATACAAAAGCATTCACAGAAATTCCAAGACAAAGACAGCATTAATAACTCAGGATGAATGGGGAGAGGGGAAGAAGGGAGCAAGAACAACAGGAAGGGCCTTGTGTAGGAGGTATATCTCAAAGAGCTAGTGACTCCAAAAGGAGGTGTTAATCTGTAGAAATAGGGCAAAATTGGCTTCACAACCCTAAGGAAATCTCTAAATCCACTTCAAAGAAGCTTAAAATCATCCAAATTTACTTCAAGTTTACATGTGTTCAGAGTTTGGAGAAGGAGAAAGAGGTAGGGTTTGGGAAAAGAAATTATTTGGTTTCCAAGGAATTCACGCTTACATGTGAGTAACATCACTCCCAAAACATTCTTTCACATAAAGTACTTTTCAAAATACACTACAAACACAAATGTTAAGTGTGTTAATAAATGGGTGCCTCTTTATATCATGAACTAGGAGAAGAGGAGAAAAGTGGTTTAATTTGGAGACAGAATATACATAGAGGTAAGAAAAATGGGAAAAGCCTTAACAAAATGTAAAAGATGAGGACTAGAAGAGAAAGGCTCATGACCAAAGAACTTCTCCCAAACACATCTGCCTAGAGGGGAGAAAGGGCTTGTCATCCTCCCATCTCTTGGGCTTAAGTGTCCTATGTACCACTTTCAGGGTTATCTGTAATTAAATTAGTTAAGAGATTAAAAGAGGTGCAATACTGCCTTTCAAAACAGCAGAGTCCATTTTTCCTGGCTGTGGCCACACACAGGGTACAGAAGTACTGGTTGCCTGGAAGGACTCGCCAGGCATTAGATCCTTTTTTATTTTGTTATTCTGATTAAAACAGTAGAATATGTTGTAACATTAGCAAAATGTATTACTTCTACAGTGAGTTCTGTTAGGTGGAAAAATAATGGATACATACCACCAAAATTGTAAAAAAAAAAAATCACACATTGTAATAATAATAGCAAAATGTATATATAGTACTATACATAATGCATAATACAGTATTTATATATGGTACCTGGCACATACTAACTATTTACAAATATTATCTCATCTGATCCTCACCACTCTGGGAAGCAACAATATGTCCCCATTTCACAGTTGAGGAAACTGAGGCAAACAGAAGTTAAGCGGCCTGCCCAAGATCAGAGACACAGTATGTGTCTGAGGCCAGAACTGAACTCTGGTCTTCCTAACTCCAGTCCAGGCACTCTCTCCATTGTGCCACCAGCTGCCTAGTTAATGCATTATACAAGCATACTTAGAACTAGAGGCATTTAGTATGGAGCACAGCTGAGCTTCCCAACAGTTAGGGAAGAGTGGTACCAGAGGACCCTTGAGAAGCCTGATATTAGGGAGGCAGGCACCAGGCCAAGGCCACACAGAGCAGTGTGTACCAAGAAAAAGATATCTATTAGAAAGCTGATGAACATGTTTTGGGGAGAACAAAACTAATGACCACAAACATACAGGTAATAAAATGAAATCCTCAGTAAAATGTTTTTCTCTGTATAACCATTTCTTTCTGACCATTTAAAAAAAAACTTTTCAACTAGACCTGTGATGTCATTCACCCGCCCTGCAATTTAAAAGTCTTACAACACTGCCCAAGATACCCAGACATTAAGGCACTAAGCCAGGGTCACACAGCAAGTATGTATCAGGGTCAAGATTCGGATCCAGATCTTCTGGACTCTCAGGCCAGCTCTCCATGTCCATTGCAACAATGATCAAAACTAGATTAATGATGGGCCCGAAAGAAAAACTAAGACCAAACAAGGCTTGCCTGGATTCCTTTTTTGATTCCCCACAGCATTCTCTCCCTCTTAAAATGACTCTGCATTTAGTAGCTTTTGCACACGGAATTCCCTCCCAATAGAACAGCTGATGCTGGAGGGAAGAGTCTGTTTCCAATAAACATTTAATGAGCACTTGCTATGTGCCAGGAGTTGTGCTAAATACTGAGGATACAAAAACAAACATGAAACCACTCCTGCCCTCAAGGAGCTTACTTTCTACATTTAGTAAAGAGCTGGTGACTTAAATATAAGTAATTAAATAACTTCTGATTACAGCTGTCCCAAAAATGGATGGGCAGTCCCAAGAGAGTTTCCTATCGATGCAATTCTTTAAGCAGAGGCTGGAAGATTTGGAACTAACAAAATTTCCTTCCCATAATGAATGGCTGAACAAATAAATAAATAAATGAGCGAATAAATAAATAAAAGACATTTATGAGTCATGGCTGAGCTAAACTAAGGATAATGTAAAAAGAATTCAAGCTTCATTGAGGGGATAAACTAAATGACTGAGATCTCTTCCAACTCTAAGAATCCAGGATTTTGTGAATTCAGAACATTTTCAGAATCAATTTTCCCTGGAAGTCTCTTACTCTTGGCTCCTTTAAGAGAACTGCTTTTGTCCAACAGCCCTCTGAAAAGGTGAGGCTGGCTATCAAGGTAAGCTCCTCGACATGGCCTTCTCCTCACCCTTCCTACCCAAACAGAAGAAAAAAATACGGATCCTTGATATGTACAGTGTTAAAAAAAAAAGCCTTTGAGAGTTTCACTGAGAAAATGCTATTAGACTGAACAGTTCTGATAATGAACACTCTTCCCACTATCATCACTGAAAGGTGAAGAAAGGATAATTATACTAAGCAAAATCACTGGCAAAGGTCACAGTATTTGCTGCTCTGGCTCTGATTTTACATTTTAACACATTTCCTTACCTTCACATTGGGAGTGTAAAGATTTCTCAAGGACGCAAGAGCAGCTGACAGTCCATCAGTGCTATACCCAATCCATAGGGCTTGAAGATGGCTTGAAGAAATTCCAGTTTTTTTACTGAGACCCTGTGAATTAATTGAAGACATAAATTTTTTCCAAAGTCTCCTCTCATTATCACAAGAGGTATAAAAAGAAAAAAATCTAGAAAGTTGTACAGCACTTGGGGGGGGGGGGAAGAACAAAAGAGAAATAATGTCCATAACTATGGCAAGGCTTCTGAGTATTATAGGAATCTCACAGCCTAGACCCCTCCACCAATCCCAGACTTACCTTAAAAATATGTGCCTTAAGAATGTGATGCCCAAGTTCCATGGTTTGTTGGCGATTCAACTTTCCCTCCTGTCTGGAGAACATAAATGCCAAGAGAGCGTGTCCATTCCTAGGGAATTGGTGAGAGAGAGAAGAAATCTTCCAGCAAATGTTCCTTTCTCAAAGTATCTGAAATGCCTTAACTAAGGAGCAGCATTATGTGAAGAGAAGAGTTTGTTAAATGGCTGGCTTGTTACTTAGTCAAAATCAGAGAGATGATGCAAATTTTTTTTTATCCTTAAACTCATTTTAAGAGCTTCCAAACTACTTCTAGGATGTGGAAGTGCTTAGAGAAAACACCTCACCGAATGTCAATATAATATATAATATATAATATAAAATACAAAATAATAATATTTTTAAAAACCACTTTAAGTAGTTACACTAAGGAAAGTTTACTTTAAGCAAAGGTAAATTACTTTAAGTTAAACATCTACTTCATAGTGTATGATGACCATTTTACAGATAGGGAAAGTGAGCCACAGGGAAACTAAAAGATCTAGACTTAAGAGGGGAGAAATTTGGGTTTTCCCACTTTGGAGTTTCACATTTCTTTCCCCTCTGAATGGCTGCCTTTAAAAAACACACACACACATTCTCAGGTAAGTGTGGGAAAAAAAAAGTTTCTGATTCTGAGAAACAACAGGCATAGGTATGTTCATTCACCAACTTCAAGACTATATAGCACATAAATACTCAAGTCACCACGTCTGCTACCGATTTACTCCATGGACTCCCAGTGCAACTTTATCCAAGCAAGTGCAAGATGATTTTAATACCCCCTACCTTCTGCAACTCCCAGAAATCAAATTTTATAGGCACAGAAGGCATAATTAGAGTGAGTCTATAGTGGAGGGTAGATGCATTGGAAAAATCAGTGCCAAAGTGGAATACAAGTCACAAAAATCCACCAATAATTCCTAAACATCAATATTAGTCAACCTCTTCCACTCCAAATAAATATTACATCAAAAATAGTACCAAGTAGTAAAACTGATGTACTAGCATAATGGTAATGAAATGCCAAGGTGATGAGAAAGGGGAGGGAAGAGCAGTACAATATAATTGGCTTCTGAAAAAATAAAAAATAATTAGGAAAATAAAGCAAGTTAAAATAGAAAGGAACCTTAAAGGTCATTTCGTTCAAAGGAGTATCACATGTTGCTTGACAGCCTGATACTTCCACTAATGTGGTATACATTCTGCACCTACAGATGGCCAGTCTTTTCTTGTTCATGATTCAGTCAATGAATAAACATTTATTAAGCACCTACTATGTGCCAGGCACTATGCTAAGTGCAAGGGATACAAAGAAAGATAAAAGACTAGCCTTACCTGCCAGAAGCTCAAAAATATAATAAAAGAGACAACATGCAAAGCTAGGAAGCTCCATGTTCTATGGACGTACAGTCTATGGCCAGATCTACACTCTGAAGCCCTCTCATTTTGGTATGACCAGCCAATACGTGTATAATTCAGGGAGAGTTTGGAAAGCCTGAGTTACTTCCACACCAAGACAGGTCATCAGAATAGGACATCAAAGAGATACTTTCCTAGAAATCAGGATTCTTAGGAAACACAGTGAACTTCTTGTGAAAGGTTAGCAGGTGAGGAAGAAAGAAGGGGACAAAGAAAAATGACTTAATCTAGTCTCTTTCATCCAAAGAGTACAATGAATCAGTCCAGCAAAAAAGCAAAGGTGGGGTATTCCTACTTGTATTGCTTTCATCTACCTACTTTAAGTTACTGTTGTGAATCTCTCCATTATTTTTATATCTGGCTCATGGACTATTCTACCCTACCCCCTACCACTCTCTAGTATTTAAATATGCATGTTGACAATCCCTTGAAGCTCTAAATTCCTCAATCTCCTCAATACCAACATCACCATCTACGTTACACATCACTCATAAATTAGTTATCATCATTTCTTGGGTTGCACCATTTTCAAAATAAAAAATTTTATAGTCTGGAAATGAAATATCAATCTCCTACTCATACAGAAATTGCTCTTCATTTTTTTGTCATTTGACTGTTCCTCAAATTCCCTAATTTAACGTTAATTACACATACACAATCAATTATTTCCATACACAATCTTTATCTGATGGTCAGCTATTTGACTGTTACACAAGTTAGTACCCTGCAAAATCCCCATGTCCCACTGAACTTCCCCATTCCCAACTTGGGAATCCTTATCCCTGAGCAACTATTTGATTTTTCTACTCCTGCTCCAGAGCTGCTGAATCTCTTGGAAAAAAAACCATGTGATTAAATTAAGTACGTATGATTCACTGTATATCCATATTATCAGCTGGGCCACTGCTGCTGCTTATCAAATAAAATTCAAACGTCCTTGTCTACCATTCACGGATCTCCACAATCTGGTATTATCCTAACTTTTCTAGCTGTATCTCATATTACTGTGACTGTTACATTCTTTGCTTCAACCAAACTACACTACACTCTGATCTCCATGTCACCCCCATCCCCAAACCTCTCTTTCCCTATATCTCCATGTCTTTGCTCATACCATTCTCTAAACCTGGTATATTTCTTTTCCTCGTGTGCCAGTGACATTCTTATCTGTCCTTTACAGAATAACTCAAAAACCTGCTCCATCGTGAAGCCGACCTGGCCCTCTCCTCTCTTCTCCTGCCATCAGTAATGTGCTTCTTCCTGAATCAGCACTTTGTTCTATAGTTCTCTAATTTACTTATCAAGTACTCTTGAACATAACAGGTCATATAATCCTACATTTAGAGCCAAAAGGGAACTCAAAAATCACTTAGTCCAATGACAGATGAGGAAACCAAGACCTACAGAGGTTAAGTGACTTGCCCAACTCACAAAGGTAGTAACTGAGTCAGGATTTGAACTCTGTACCTCTGGCTCTAAATCCAGCATTCTTTCCATTGCATCATACTGACTCTTCCTCTAGACTTTTAGCACTCTAAGATTTTAAGGGCAGATACAATGACATCTACATTTTTAACCTCTCCCACTGCCTAGCATAGTAACGGTCTGTACACAATAGGTACCTAATAAATATTCATTGAACGAATGTGAATAAATAAAGTTTCTCATAGAAATAATTTTTCATTTGCTTCTTACCCAGCTTGCCCTAAAAACAAATAAACAACCCACTAAATAAATACGCCACATGGTACCACTGAATTATTCATTCCGTGTTGTTTTCTCATATGTGTTAAAAGCCTATTCCCCAAATTAGGGCAAGGAACCGTGAATAGGCAAAAGCAATTCTGAATTTACCTTGGCTCACACAAGAAGTCAGTGTTTTCACCATCAGCTCTCCAAACAAGCCATTCTCTGAAGGAGGGATGGCAAAACATGCGTGTTTTGTCTCTCCTCTTTATCAGGAAGCACGAAAGGGATTCCATTCTTTGGTGAAAGTCATCCCACTCCTGTTCGCCTTGTATATGACCAGCATTGATAGCCTGAAAAATCTGTTCATCCGTCATGGGGTGAAGGGAAGCAAGAGCCACATTTAAAATGGGAAGAGCTCTTTCGAAGGCAGAGTTGGTCATGAACTTCATGTTACACTGCAGCAAATAGAGTTCTGATAGAGACACAGGAACAACTTTGTAGCTTGCACTTTTAATCACTAAATGTCCTCTTTGGAAGAGATCCAATGTCAGCTTCAAATACAGATAAGATCCCAAGCTCCTCATGACAAGATGGTTGCTTACTTTCCCAATGATGGCAGCATCTGCTTTCCCATTTAGAGAAATGTTGCTGACAATCTCTTGGCTACTGTTGATCCTATACTGGACATAGGCATTCAGATCATTGTGGATCTCTTCGTTTTCAGGGAAATCATCCAGTGAAATTCGGAAAAATGGCAATGCACTTATGATTTCCTGTAGAGGGAAAAGAAATCATACACACAGTGTCATTCCATGGCAGTGGAAGTAGCATTTTAAACCAGATTCATTGCTTTTCTTTCAAGAAAGATTATCCTGGATTACAGGGATTCAAGGTTTTGTAATAAAACATGTAATGGGATCAAATGAAGATGAAAAACTTATTGAAAAGAAATCCTGCTGAAAGATTTAATTGAAAAATCCCTTCCCAAAGCTCTTATCTGAGAAATTCAAACAAAACAAACGCTAAGACTACACACTCTCTCTCTCTCTCTCTCTCTCTCTCTCTCTCTCTCTCTCTCTCTCTCTCTCTCTCTCTCTCAGAGCTTGCCAGCACTGACCAAAGGCACAATGAGAACTATTTAAATGACCTAAAATGAAGGAGAAAATGGACCGCTTTACAAAGCAATGCAAATAGAATCATAAGACCATAGGGTTGCAGATGGAAGATTCCTGGAGCCCTTTCTAGTCTAGCCATTTATTTTAAAGATGAGGTAACAGAGGGAAACACACAAAAGCGAAACACATAATAAGGGGACACTCAAGATCTGAACCAATGTCCTCTGTTTCCAAATCCACAGCTTTTCTTTTCTTTCTTTTTTGAAACTTTAAAGATTAGAACCAATTGTGTTTGTTTTGGAGCCTCTCCCTGGTTCTTTTCCTTTCCATAAATATTAGACACATGAATTTGATACAAAGGCCAAAAGGCTGTATTTGGTTTGAGACAAGCGTAAGATAAAATGTTAGCACACCATCCGATAGCACACAGAAGGAAAAGGGATTGAACTTCAGACATGGATCACTATAACCTAGAAAAGTATAAATAAATGAAATCAAGTCCAAAATGCCACACTTCATTCAACAGCATCAGCAAGTTTCTTAAGCTAGCAACAGATAACAAAATGGTGGCAAGAAAATATTTCTAGATTGAATCTGTCCTTCTTAATCTCTTTTCCTTAAACCTGGGGAACTGGTAGTGCTAGTTTCCACTGAAAAACACCTTGGGGAATGAAGAGCTGGGGTCTCACATAGAGCTAAAATAACATACAGAGAAAATTCTTCATCCTCTTCATTGTCATATTTGTACACAAACCCAATGCTTTTCCAATCTACGCTTCCTCTGGTACAATTAGTTCCTTAAGAATGGCAATCAGATTCATAACACTTATTTTGTCCCTTTATAAATATAGGTGAAATGACCATTCTCACTACCGCATGAGATAAAAAATTTTCAAATGAGGCTATGTGGCTGTCATATCATCATAACCTATTTCATTGTGTTTTGTATGTTTGATATTTAAAAAAAATAACAACTACCTGCTATGCCAACAACTGAACCTGTTTCCATTTTCTCTTAAAGAAAAAAAATTTTAATTTAATCTCATTTTTGCTTCATACAGCAAACATAAACCAAGACTTTTTTAAATTAAAGTTTAGTATCTAAAAGAGACAGAAAAGTAAAAACATCCAATGTCTGTAACAAGGCTCCAGAAGGCGGCTCTGAAGTCCCACAAGACACCTCATCATGGGGCGTTAAGTGATGCAGGGCTCCTGAAAGTCCCAATCTCTACAGGGCACTATCAGTTTGGAAAGGCTTCAAGTATAAGCCCAGTGACAAAATGTACAATTGTTGTGCAAAGACCAATTTATTCAAGTCTAGGGAAACCCAATACCAGCTCAGAACCAACAGGTGATATTATTTTCAGCCATGGTACATTATAAACACCACACAATAAGTCAAAGAGAGCTCAGGGTAGACCTCTGATGAAATCAGGTCTCCTCAAAGTACTGAAATTATGTAAAGAGCCTTAAAAAAGAGACACACGGACATAAATTGGTAGGAGTTGGAGAAGGAATTTTTAAGTCAATATATAGAACAAGATTTTTGTGTCCAAAAGTAATGAACTTTTTTTCATCATTTCTACTGACCTGGCTACACGTCAAACCATATCTCAATTCTCCTAACTAAAACATAACCTCCTTAAGAAGAAACATCAAAAATGTTTCTCTCCTTTAAACCCATCCCCCAAATAAAAATTCGCATAAACAGCTACTCCTGGGAAAAAATTTTAAATCTATTTAGCATATATGTTAAGCAGCCATCTAAAACAATTATGCTTTGGAAAACTTGGATTTCAGCTCATAAACTTAAATTATGCTAATCCAGGCCTAGACATTTCAGTTTCAGAAGCACAGGTAGAATTCAATACTAATAGGAAAGTTACCTGACATCTTGATGAATATACCTTGGAAAATAAGGTCATATTCTGTGCCAGTTTGGAACTCTCTGGACTAATTTTTCACAGTCTTAATACAGTTTCTGATTAAAGAGTCAAATGATTTATAAGCATTTTTGGTGCTCATATTAATCACTTTAAAATTTTGGGAAGAGGTACTGGGTGAAAGAGTTGAGATTTTTATATTACCTGAAAATTTGCTCTTACAGTTACAATCAACTTCAGCCAGGCAGGAAATTTAGAAATAATTTTGGTAATAAATGAAGAAAGTGTGTCTCCATAATCGGGTTTATGAAACTCAGCTTCATTTAGGCCATCTATCAAAATAATGTATTCTTCCTCTGGAATTTTCTGCTCTAAAGGATAAAAAAAAATTCTTTTTAAATCAAGAAATTACACATTTCTTTAAGGTGACAACACACTGTATGTCTACGCACAGTTTTTTTTAAGTGTTAACAAAAGTGTTATGTTTACATATGGCAGCAGAAATGGTTTTCAATGAAGCATATTTTCTATTAAATTTATAATTAAAACAGGAACACTAAGCCATGAGGCAGCCCAGCAAACGGCATGATTTTAGAAATATTATCTTGCATTATATATATTAGTAGAAAAGCACTCACATATGGATATAACTAATTCCTTGATCATTTATAGTAATGAGGATAAAAGACATCATAGATGATTGAAATCTCTACTGAATCTTTGTGCCAACTGAAGTTATTATTTTTAACTTGCAAATTTTTCACTAGAATAAATAAGGAGGAAAAACTCCTAAATCTGAATTAGAATCCCCTCTGCTCCTAAGATTCTTCAGGGAGAAGAAGTAATAAACAAGTAAAGAGCTCCAACGTGACAAGTGAGGTGATACCAAAAGAACAAGTCAGGAATAGCTGTAGCATCAAACTTAGTTGAGCAGGTAAATGGAAACACATCCTCACAATTCCATTCAAATGGGACTAAATTAGGACTAAACGTAATAGAGAACAGGAAGTAAAGTCACTTATGACCTTTGTAGCCCTAAGGTGGCACCCACATGTATCATGGACTTTAAATGGTCAGTGGAGTTGGTTTCCCATTAGTAGTGATAGATGAGCACTGTTCCAGCCCCTCCATCTCACCTGGGGGACCATGATCACTACCTTCTTTCTAGAACTGATCATGCCTGTGCCTGTCTAAATATACAATGAGAAAGTTTCCAAGGAACATCCTTGATCTACCATTTCTGAGGTTGGCAAGTGGTTCCAGGACTCCTCTGGTGAAAGCTGCCACTGGGTCCTGAACACATGACCTAAGGCTCAGCATACTCTGTAGCTGGGGCTCCTTTATCAGCAGGTCTCTGTAGGCAGCCAACGGATGTGCGCGGCACAGCAAAGCAGCGACGCTGTGCACAAACTCAGGGACCAGGCATGTGTAGGTGTTGTCAGCTTGGCAATAGTGATAGGCCACAACCTGAACAGAAAACAAGCACACACCATCAGGGGACACCTTCTCAGGCTAAGGTAAACAGCAATGTGCATTTATTTTTTTTTTCCCCTGGATGAAATAAAAAGCATGCATTCGATTTCCATCACAGGTCCATACTCTGAGAAGGAGAAAAGTGATGCTATGCTGTTGGATCTGCAAGATGTCAAAAAAGCTTATCACCAATAATCACAAAGTCTCAGAAGTCAGAGCAGGGGTCACAATGATTTAGTCCATCTCCCCTCATTTCAACACAGATGGAAATAGAAGCTCTCCTCTAAAGCAAAGCGAATTGCTCAAGGTCACACAGCAAGCAAGTGGTAGAACTGGGACTGGAACTCAGGTCTCCTGTTTCCCAGGCTAGTGGTGTTTCTAGCCAGTCAGTTGCTGTAGTAGTAGGAAGGCATTCACAAAAGCCAAAACTCGGCCTGACTGAAGGCAATTCCTGGTTCACAGGAAATTCCAAGCAGAGCCCAACATTCCTGAGGACAGAAATGCAATTAGCATTGCCTTCGCAATTCCTTAGGGCTGGTCTGTTACTGCTCTCAAAAAGCAAGTTAGGAAATGGGTAGCCAATAAGAACATGGTCCATGCACTAATTCTCTACTTTCTTCTAAAAGAAGAACGGATGATGAATTTCAAGTCTTTCACGTACACAGACTTGCATGGCACAACTGACTGAGAGTGCAGAGAAATTAAAACCACTAGCCTGTGTGGAGGAATCTTGAAGCAGCTCAAATTGTACATCTGAGGCTTTTTATCTGTATGACCTCAAGTTAACTTCCCTGGGCCTGGGTTTCCTCTTCTGCTATATGAAGGGGCTGGATGAGACAGCCTCTAAGATCCCTTTCAACTCTAGACCTCTGATCCAGTGAAACTCTAGGTGCAGACACAGGTAGGAGAATGGCACTGTACCTGATCATAAGGCAAGGAAAGTCACCTTAGTCATAATTAACTTTCAATGACAGCAAGACACCTAATTAGAAATATTCCAAGGATAGTGTGAGAGCCAGTTGCATACATGAGAAGAGGTCACTAAATAAGCCCACTTTAGTCCTTTGAAACTGATGATCCTTCCAACTCTGACCACCAAAGCCCAGTGAAGGAGCTCTTTTTCATCCTTTTTCAACTTTTGGGACCATGAAAAGGTGATAGAATGGGGGTATTTTGGGTAAAGACCTTCCCAGTTACAGAATTTATTCTATTAAAAATCTTGGTTACCCTGAAATATTTGCATTTTCCCCTATCATGTTTGGGGTTAAATCAAACGAGGTACATGGTAACACATATAAGGTACTTAGTAAACCTTAAAGCACTATATAAAAGCTAGCTATTGTTAATTCAATGATAATAGGCTCACCGTAATTAAAAAACATGAAATAAGCTTAAAAATGGATACAGGCATTTGAGACCCTTCCAAAAGGGACTGAGAGAAGAAACTGTGCTTTTTAGTGCTTCATATTTTTCAAAGGTGCTTTTATTTCTTTATTCTTTTTTTCTAGCTCTGTAAAGTATTTTTCCGTAGTTTGACTGGTATGGTACTGAATAAGTAAATTCATTTAGGTAGGATTATCATTTTTATTATATTAGCTTGGCCTACTCAAGAGCAACTGATATTTTTCCAATTGTTTCAATCTGACTTTATTTGTGTGAATAGTGTTTTGTAATTGTGTTTATATAGTTCCTTGTCTTGGCAGGTAGGCTCTCAAATATTTTTTATCATCTATGGGTATTTGGAACAGAATTTCTCTTTCTATCTCTTGCTGCTGGGCTTTGTTGGTAATATATGGAAATGCTGATGACTTACATGGGTTTATTTTATATCCTGCAACTTTACTAAAGTTGTTAATTACTTCAATTAGTTTTTTTAGTTGATTCTCTAGGATCCCATAAGTATACTATCATATCATGTGCAAAAAGTGATAGTTTTCTTTGCTCACTGCCTATTCTAATTCCTTCAATTTCTGTTTTTTTCTCTTACTGCTAAAGCTAACGTTTCTAGTATAATACCGAACAACAGCAGTGATAATGGACATCCTTGTTTCACCCCTGATCTTACTGGAAATGCTTCTAGCTTGTCCTCATTACATGTAATGCTAGCTGATGGTTTTAGATAGATGCTACTTATCATTTTAAGGAAGACTCCATTTATTCCTATGCTCTCTAGTGTTTTTAATAGGAATGGGTGTTGTATTTTGTCAAAAGCTTTTTCTGCATTGACAGAGATAATGATATGATTTCATTAATTTTGTTATTGATATGGTCAATTACGCTGATAGTTTTCCTCATATTGAAATAAATAGCCCTGCATTACTGGTATAAGTCCCATCTAGTCATAGTGTATTATTATCCTTGGGATAAATGGTTGTAATCTCTTTGCTAATATTTTATTTAAAATTTTTGCATCAATCTCCATTATGGAAATTGGTCTATAATTTTCTTTCTCTGTTTGGCTGTTCCTGGTTTGGGAATCAGCACCATATTTGTGTCATAAAAGGAACTTGGTAGGACTTCTTCTTCACCTGTTTTTCCAAATAGTTTATATAGCATTGGAATTAATTGTTCTTTAAATGTTTGGTAGAATTCACTTGTAAATCCATCCAGCCCTGGAGATTTATCTTAGGGAGTTCACTGATGGCTTGTTCAATTTCCTTTTCTAAGATAGGGTTAATAATTGTATTTCCTCTTCTGTTAATCTGGGCAATTTACATTTTTGTAAACATATTCATCCATTTCACTTAGGTTATCAGATTTACTGGCATACAATTAGGGGTGCTTTTATTTCACTCGGCCCTAACAACCCCATGTGGTAGGCAGGGTATGTATTACTTACTATCTCTTTTATCGAGGTAAAAGAAATCAGGTGACAGAGATGGTAAGTGACATTTTCAGGGTTAACACAGAGACAGAAATAGGTTTCCTCTCAGGTCTCTGGATTCTAAGCCTGGTACTCTTGACAGTAGAGGAAGAAATACTCTACCTAACTATGAGTTTGAGATCCTTTTTTCAAGGGTAATTTATGATCATTCCTATCGTACTGTTTCCCAACAAATCTGTCATCAACACACACGGTAGCACAAAGTTCTGTCTTCAGTGGAAAGAAGACAAGCAATAAAACACACATCTCTCTATGGTGCACTTGGTAGCCAAGGCAGCCCGTGCTGGGGGAAGCCTCTCCTCTTTCAATCTGACAACTGTGTTCCTGCATGAGTCCACTGACTTCACTGGTCAGAAGCAACAGGACCTTCAGTTTTAGAGGAGACAGGCCATGGGCTGCACAGCTGAGATAATGGTACTCGGGGGCAAGTGGAGCAGACCACCCCCCCCCGCAGGCTTTTCTCCATCTCTGCCCCACCTTTGAGGACCCAGAACTTCATTACCTCATGCCATGAAAGTCACTAAGAAAAACCCACGCAATTAGCAGAGAGCAAGAGCAGGAGCAAGAACTGGGGATAAAAAAAGCAACCTCATACTAGTGACAAATGTTAAAACGGAAGAAAAACGTCACAAAAAGACCTTAGTGACCATAACTTTAGAAAGGAAAAGTCAGCCAAGTCTCCTTTACAACATCCTGACAAACATCTGATAGAAAGTTACTGAGAGCCAAGGTCTTCGGGGAATGAAGCCCTGGTCAGAAAAATTCACAGTCAAGTAAAAGCTCTGAAATATTTGGCTCCCAAAAGCATATACCCTTTAAACTTTTTAAAAGTTCAGTTTAAATATAAAATTAAGCTCACAACAAAGGCATATTAGTGACTCTCATTAGCAACTTCTATTCCCCTTTTAGACCCTTAATCCAATATCGAATCAATACAGGTAAATGTCTACTGACCTACCTCATAGGGTTGTGGTGAGGACCAAATGTGAAGGGCTTAGAAACCTTGAATGTCAGCTATTATTATCAAAATCACTAGATATTTGTTGCTGTCAACACATTTCATTATACGTCTTAATCACAACTTTACTAAAACTAAGCTTTTCTGAACAAGTTTTTTTTTAAAAAAATGTTTCTTCTTCCAGCCTATTTGGAAAATATAAAACTCACTTTGATGATGATGATGATGATGATGATGATGATGATGATGATGGCAACAGAAACTTACAGGGCACATTCGAGTTTACAAAAAGTTGTTTCCACAACAACCTGTGGAGGCTTGGTGGTGCAAGTAAAAGAATTCTCATTTTATAAATGAAAAACTGGAGTTCAGAGAAATTACTTAATTGGACATCACAGAACTAGAGGTGGAAATAAATGTGGTTTTCTAATAGTCAATCTTTTGCTTGACTCTCAAGCTTATTTAGCTTTCAGTCCCAAATCTAGCCTAACTGTCAAACACAAAAGCCCATTACCTTACAGGCAAGATATCTCAAGGCACATACCTTAGAGGCAAGGTATCTCAAGGCACCATCTACCGGTCTCTGATGCTCAGGAGTACCAGGACAACTTGGGGCTTTCACAGCACTGGGAGCACCGGTGGAGGCACTGGGTGAGAACAATGGGGTGAAAGGAAGATCCTGGCAGGGATCAGAACCTGTGGAAGAACAAATAAAACCAGGATCCCATTAAAAAATATTTCCCAGTATCTACATCAACAATATTAACAGGAAAACTAGTTCTTTTCAATCAGATAATTTACTCCTTGATTAATTCTTACTATTTCCCTAAGAAATGGACACTTTTTTCCATTATTTTAAATATAATGAGCTTACTATGTTTAAGAAGCAACAGATGTTAAAAAAAAATGTTCTTCCTAATCATTAAAGGTTTTAAGATTCTAAGAATGCCACATCCTAAATTAGGACATATATATATGGGTGTGCATTTAAGCAGTTTATCCAGGTTCCACCAGATTGGTGTATTGAACTGGGAAACCCTAAACCTTTGGATTTAATGAACAACAATGATCCATGCCTCCCAAACACCCCACTCCCCAAGGGTTCTCCATACAGGCTCTCTGCACAATTCCATGTCCTTCCCACTTTAACATAGCAGCTGTCCCTGCAGCAAAAGGGAGATGCCTCCATCCCAGCAGCACTGGAAGTAGGCTGTTCAGAGAGCGGGGTAGTGGCCACCCATCCCCTTGTAGTTCTTCCCTGGTCCAGCAAAACAGCAGCACTGGGAAAGGAGCCAAGAAAGAAATGGAGGGCACGGGGTGGGATGTAACACAAAGAGGACAGACTTGCTCCCCCCCGTATTCCATCCAAGCATTTGATGTAATAAATAGTGTTAAACCAGAGTTTTCCTGTATGATCAAAAACTTCAATTAAATTTTTTTTGTTTTTATGTAGCAGCTGGAACAACTTGAGAAACATTGATAATTTATGTTTACCACAACAGCAATATCCTGAATTTCATTTCATATTAATAACATAACAAACCAAGCAACTAATTAAAGATGAGCATACTTTTAGGCGATGAACTGGGACTGTTTGAAGCAATCTGTCTCATGCGGCTCCCATGGCAGCTAAGTGCCACCAACTTAGAAATAATTGCAGTCTTCCCAAATCCCACATTTCCAACAACGACTGCTCCCCTATTTTCTGCCAACTCTGTATTCTTCAAGTTTTCTTCTATCAGTTGAAAGAGCCAATCTCTTCCAATGAACACAGAGTCTGTTGTTATGCTTGGCACTTCAAACAACAGTGGCTTCAACAAAATGTCTTGTGGCTTGTAAGGGACAAACCGTGCTAGAAGGAAGAACAGCATAATTAGAAGAAAGTCACTGGTTTTATCCTATAAAATTATATTAACAGCATCATTTCAAAGATCATCCTTTTGAACATAGCATCAAAGTTTGAGTATCTGCTCAGAACGAGATGAAATAATTCAAAAGACATACTTGGTCCTTACATTTAAATGATTTAGACCTAGGAAAATTTCACAAGTTAACTACAACCTGATAACTTCAGTTCATGCATACTACATTTATTTGGCCCTTTTCTGGAGGGTAGGAGGGAATGATCAGAGGGAGACTGGTCTCCTATCTTGTCCAGGCTAGAAATGCAGCAGCCACTCATGTCATGATCCTACTACTGACCCACACAGAAACTTAGACCTGCCGTTTCCAACCTTCAATTGGGTCAACTGGGACTCACCATACTGGTGCAAGATTTGATGGATATACCAGCATCAGATTTAGCCCTATTTACTGCAGCTCACAACTCCAAATCTCAAGCAATTCACCAGCCTCAGCCTCCCCAAATACCAAGGATTATGGGTATGCACTATAATGTCCAATTTATCTGGCAGTATCAAGGAATCAACTAATAACTGAAGGCCTGATACGTACGGTGCCATGTGTGATACACCTGATTCTAGCCAAAACACAAAGAAGGCATTCAATTGATAGTTAATCCACCAGCAGCACCAGAAAATTAACAAAACTGAATCAGAACCACTAGGTTGAAGACATTTAAGGTCTAAAACACCTGTGAAGTGTTGAGTGACTCTGTCTTCTAGTCAGATTTTCCAAATAATTCGAGATTATTTCTTTAAAAACTACAAAATATTCAAAACAAATTTTAAACTATTTCGAAAAAAAATCTTTCTGAAATTTACTGCATGCTTCCATACGTTAAACACAAAAAAAGTTAACCTTTTCTTAATGGCTCAGTGTTATCACCATAAAGATTAATCATTGCTTCCTACTATTACACAGAGATGTCCCGAAGGAGAGTTGAGACGGGTAGGTCTACCTGCCCTTACTGTTAGTTCTCTGCTCTCAATGCCTCCAACAGGATTCCTCATACTCCTTTCTAACCTTCTGGCCAAAAAACTCAAACCAAAAAAACAAAACAAAAACAAACAAACAAAATACAAAAACAAGATAAACTAATTAATCCAATAATATTATTTCATAAAACATTAAGTCTTCTTGGAAGCCTAAGAGCCGTTCTCCACCTCTTCTGGGGCAAAAAATGTTGCTTGGTCTTTCTGAAAAGCTACTTCCAGGCTCCTCCAGCGATCCCTATTTACCTCTGGATCCTTTTGAGCATCCTAACAGAGCTCCTGCATACACTGGGCACTTAATAAACATTTGTAGATTGGAAGCCTGACAACCAAAAAAAGTGTTGTGTTGCTGTTTCAATAACACAACAATAACAACAACAACAAATGACAATAGTCAGCCCAGAGGACTCTTTTAAATGAGTGGGTTGAGAACTAGCCCATCAACAAGGGGCATTTAAGCTGCTACCAAGTATCACATTTTAACAATCCTTGCCCTCAAGCTCACTGTTCTATTGGGGCAATTAAGAGGTCAATATTTAGAATAAGGAAAGTATATCTGAAGGAAAAAATGATTTTAAAAACTTTGTCAAGAAAAAAAATTCTTTAAAACATTTTTTTTCAAACTCGGATCTCCACAGATCTTAAATACTAGTCTATGTTCCAAATTTAAGATTACATCATTCTTATAGTTAAGATAAACTTATCTTTCCTTTCAATAGAACCAAGGTTCAGCTTAAGTGATTTACAAATTTTCTGGGGCAACCCAGCAGGCTTTACTAAAGGTGTTTTTTCAAAGGGCTGAGGGGAATGACAATTTATCTGATGACAGTAAACAGTTCATCAAGGACCATTGTTATAAGAATCTAAGTGACTCCTTAGAACAGCCACTAGGCTTTGACCCTCAGCAATTATATACCACAAGCTAAAAGGATCTGTTCTGTGAAGTTTGGATTCAGTCAAAGAGCCACACTTGAGGACCTAAAGGGCCACATATGGCCTCAAGGCTGCAGGTTCCCCACTCCTGTACTAAATTAATATAGTAACTTTAAAGATTCTTTAGTTACCCATATGTCTATTTTGGTAGAGGCAAAAAATGTAGCATGTGGAGTCTACAAGATTTTTAATGCTGATTTTCCTTTGGTCCTTCAAACCCAAGATTTTGAGTCACTCAGAAGGGGAGGGGAAGAGTGGGGGAGTAGACACACAACCACCCACAAGGATTAGTGATTATTATATAAATGGCTACACCATGGATAGTTTGTTTTACCCTGAAACTGCATTTAATGAGTGTCTTTTACAACTACCATGAGTAAGTAAATAATAAGCAATGTTTTCCCCTGGGCAAAGATGGCAACGAAACTGCTTCATCTTTGTTGGCTAAAATACCTAATGCCCTATTAGTTAAAGCTGCTGACATCCACAATTCCGAGCTACCGGTTGGATGTACTAAAACAAATACATCAATAGGTGGCCAAGGCAAACTCATACAACCAAAGTAAACTCAATGCATTACGTTGGTAGAAAAAAAAAATTAAAACTCATAGTTGTGGGTATTTTTTTAAATCTGAAGTGATCGTGTGTCACTCCCATAATTCACAGTGCATCACTGCAGAATGTATACTTTTCAACTCAATAACAACATGCAACACTTCAATAAAACCCTTCAGTTCCAATGGCCTTCCCCTACATTTTTACTAATTTAAACACACACACACCCTAAGCCACATTTTAAAAAACAGTTTGTTAATTAAACACTGACAATTACACAAGTATTCAATAAATGTGTTGAGCAAATGAGTCACGTCCATTACCAGAGAGACATTCAAGGCAAAATACCTTTAATTTCTTGCTGTGCTCGACCTCCTGCGGTATTGTGCCAAGGCAATCTGATTGACGTTCGAAGGGGAGCATTCCTCTGTCCATCTAAGTAGCTCAAATCTTCCAACTTGGTTGAGCTTGTTGCTATATTATTGAAATTAAATGCATTCTCTTTAAAAAACACACTACAATAACATAAAAAAAAAATCTCCCCCCACCTTATATTGGGTACAATTGAACATGGTTAGCCAAGGCTCTTCCTACATGGCAAGAAAAAAGACAAAAGTTCACAATATATTTTTTTTATGACTAGCCTGGCAATTATTTATTACTCAGTAAAAGTTCGACACTCAAGAGGAAAACACACAGGCCAGGCATCTAACTTCCTGTTTACCCTAGTGAGTCTTCTGCCACTGGTAGGAAACCCAATCTCGAAATCAGACAAGTAGCTTCAAATTTCAAGGCATCCACAAAGTATACTAATAATCACCCTCCTCAGTGAGAGTGGGGAGGAGTCCCATAGAGTCTTTTTTAAAAGTCAACCTATTTGTAACACTCTAAGCTTTTAAAGTTAAAAAAAAGTTTCATTTTTATTGATGCCATTTTTACATCATTGTTATTTCTCAACAACTATCCCTCCCCCCAGCTCTTCCTTTTATTTTTATAATATATTCTTATCTGAACTTAATACCAAATAAAATAGACATTTCTAAACACACAGTAAAATAGAAAAAGAGGACTGTACATAAAACTGCAGATCTCTATATCATAATACAGCTTGCTTTTCTTTTTAAGTATATAATAAGTTCAAATTTTAGCTTTTAAAACTCTCCTGCTTAGTTGTGTTTCTTTCTGAACTTCCTTCTGCTCTCTTTTCTACATCTTAAAAAAATTTTTTCTGAAACCAATATCTGTCACATTTAATATTTAACAGATCAACAAGTCAACATATGTGCTAAATACTGGTATACCAAAATAAGGGCAAAAATACCAAAACAAAACCAAAAGAACAAAAACAAGATCACCAATAAACACAGACCTATATGAACAGAGACCAAACACCTGTATTCCACTCAGAGTCCAATTTAAATATACACTCATGTACATACACCCAACACAAAGAAATGGTTAATTTGCATTGAAACTGGGAAACATACAATGAAATTTTTTGTTTTTAAAATCTGAGTGATTTATTTACAAATCCTACACCACGGTGAAAGAAATAAAAATAAAATTAACGTAATTGGGCTTATGGGTTTCCTCAACCACGATGAAAAGTGTTAGTGGCCTTAGACAAATGGATTTCTGTCAAACTGATACAATGAGCACATGCTACTGCTATTTTCAAGGATATATCTCACTCTGCCATGGCAAATTACTGGCTAGGCAAATTCTGACTCTAGCTAAGACCCCACAACGCTAGCATGCAGTGTGCAAGGACGAAAATCCCAACGACCTGGGCTTCTACGGATTAGTCACCATCACCAGCAGAACTGGCTGATGAGGGGAAAACATTCTAGCAACCGATCTTGCCACTACATTTTCCTTTAAAAAAAAAAAAATTCAGGCCATGACAGAATGCCTCAATTACCTCATTTGCCCTTGGATGACATCGCTCCTTGTTCTCACTTCCCTGTTATCCAGGCTCACATTCCCCTTGTGTTATTCTCCATATGGTAAGCATAAATTTTCACTAATCACTTTCCCCACACCACGAGAATCCATTCTTCTGGGAGCCTGTGGTTAACCACCTCAGACTTGGGAAGGCAACAGGAATTGACTTTGTCCTACTGTACATTTGTGACTTCAGTGCTCTTTTAAAAACCATAACATTGTTCGTGGTAGGAGCTACTGAGTTGTTTGACCAAAAAAAGAGAAAAAAAGAAAATTTAAGAGCATCCCCAAAATGCTTTATTTTAGAAACATGAACAAAAATGTTGCCACTGTCATATGCAGAAAGTACCTATTCAGAGTAATGAGAGAGTGAAACATAAAGGGGCAATGTGGAAAAGCAGCAAGAATGTTGAATCAGGGCCTGGCTTTGAATACCAGGTCTGATATTTATTACCTGTGTGACCTTGGGCAAGTCAGTTAACTTCTCTAGGCCTCAGTTTCCTCATTATGTAAAAAAGAGTGAGCTGGACTAGATGGTCTCTCAGATTCTTTCAGCTCTAAACTATAGGATCCTGACATCTTATAAACCCTAGTATGGTGGGAAGACCCTAACAACCACAGGGATCAGGGAGTTCCTTCCTCAAATTCTGGCTGTCTATACCCATTTTTTTTCCCTTCCCTTCTGTTTCTGAAGAAGAAGAGGCCATCCTTCTGGCCAAGACCGATCCTGACAATACTTCTTCCACTTCTTAGAAAGCCTTTGCTCCAGTCTTTCCCTCTATAATAATTCCACTCCCCTCTGCTTGTAAACATTCAAAAGTCTTTTGACAATTTAAAAAACAAAACCTCTCCCTTTTTTCTGTCAAATTCTTTTTTTTTTAATGGAGGCCATTCTACTAGTGACCGCCATTCCCTCATCTCTTGAGACTCATTTTAGTCTCTAGTGATCTAGCTTCCGTACCAATAGAAATGACTCACAGAAGACTGTCAGTGGCCTATCAATCACCAAATCCAGGGTCCTCTTCTAAATCCTTATCATCCATAATCCCTTTGCAGTATCTGACAGGGCGGACAATGCCTTTTGTATGGATCCTTTTCTATTCCTTTTAGTTCTTTCCCTGCTCTCCTTGTTTTCCAGCTATTCCTTCTCTTTCATCTCATTAATATGGGTATTTCCCAAGCATCTGTCCTAAGGCTTCATATCCTTTTCCTTGGTGGCTTTCTAAGAAGTGGGAAGATGGGTAGATACAGAGACAGACAGATAGATACAGAGAGACAAACCCACAAAAAGAACATTGATTAAGCACTTGCTATATGCCAGGCACTGTGCTAAAGCACTGAGGATACCAATACAAGCAACCAAGAAAGCCCCTGACGTCAAGGAGCTTAACGGTCTAATAGGTCAAGAAAATACATAAAGGGGTGGGAAGTGGCACCTCAGAGAAGATATATACTGGCACAGTGAGAAGACAGCAAGGGAAGAGCAAAGAAGGCTTGAGACAAGGAATATTAGACAAAAGTTCACCACCCATCAGAGTCTGAGGACCAGGGGCCAAGGATTCTGGGGGAGGGAGAAGAGGAAAGTGACCTCAGCTGCTCCTGCAACTCTCACCTCTATGACGATAACTCTCCAACTGGTTCATCAATGCTAAACCTGAATTTTAACTACCTATCAAACATCTCCATTTAAACGTTCTGCCAGCACCTCAAGCTGAACATTATTTAAAATGGATTTCATTACTTTCCCCTTAAAGCTGCTCCTCTTCCTGGCTTCCCTATTTCTGTTAATGGCACCATCATTCTCCTACCAAGGTTACACAGACAGTAAGTTAACTGTCTTGGTAGCGGCTGTCTCCATAATCGGAGTTTTCTGACCAATGAAATTGTAGGGCCTGCCCTCTTCCCCAAAAGTAAGCTACTATTATTATAAGATGGAAAAGGAGCTTTTAGATAACGGTTAAGAGATACTGTTTAGAAATCCGATACCTATTGCTGTTTCTGTAACTTAAGCAGAGCTATGCATTAGGAATATTTCATCTCACAGTGGTACACGATGAATTGAAGTGAGGAGAGAGGAGGCAGAGAAACCAGTTAGAAAGCTCTCGCAAAAACCGAGGGCACACATGCATAACCTGTATCAGATTGCTTGCTGTCTTGTGGAGGGGGGAGGGAAAGACAAAAATCTGGAACTCAAAATCTTACAAAAAGTGAATGCTGAAAATTGTCTTTACGTATAATTGGAAAAAATAAAACACTATTTACATTTTTTTAAAAAAAGGACACTGGAGGAAAAATAATAATGATAAAAACTGAGGGGAGGGAGGAGAAGGGCCCTAAACTAAGATGGTAGCTGTGTGAGGGGAGACAAAGTGATAGCTAGGAGAGATGCTCTGAATTGACAAGATTTGGCAATAGACTGGATACATAAGGTGGGTGAGAATCAGGAATGACACTGTTTTAGATCAAAAGAAAGTCATCTCTGATGCATCCCTTCCCCTCACATTCAACCTGTTGCCAAGTGCCATCAACTCCATCTTCCTAATCTCCCATTTTTGCCTTTGCCACCTCCTCTCCACTTACACAGGCACCACCCTCGCCCAGATTCTCATCACCTCTTCGTTCAGCTATTGTAATGAATCGTGAGACAGCCTCCTTGTCTCCAGCTCCCCTTCACCCATTAAAGCAGGAGGCCCCAGGGCTGTGCTTTCAAGAGCATAAAGATAACCCAGTGAGCAAACCCCAACTACTACAACAGGCTGGTACCTCTTCTGCAACATATTTTGTTAGAAAGTAGTTTGGGGGCAACAGAGAGGTTTAAGGACCTGCCTGGGTTCATACAGGTAACATGGTCCAAGGCCAGACTAGAATCAAGCCCTCACCCTCTCTATCTCCACTACACCAGGATGCCTCTCATTTGTATGCATGATTAAATATATATGGCATTTTATGATTACAATGCATTTTTATATACATTTCCTCATTTAATCTTCACAGTAGCCTTGTTAAGGTAGAGTGAACAGGCATTTCTTATCCTGATTTAAAAGATAAGGCAATTAAGGCCTACACCTGATCACCCAGCTAATAATTAGGAGAGTCAGGACACTAACCCAGGTCTTCTGATTCTAGAATACAACATTTTTTTCCCATATGTGTATGTGTGTAAATGTGGTATAGTCTACATAAGAGGCAGCTATTTGGTGCAGGGGATATAGCCCTAGGCCTGGAGTTAAGAAGACTTGAGTTCAAATTCAGCCTCAGACATTTAATAGTTGTGTGACCCTGAGCAAGTCACTTAACCTCTGTTTGCTCCAGTTTCCTCAAATGTAAAATGGAGTTATTAACAGCACCTATTTTACAAGACTCCTTTAAGGATCAAATGAGATAATGTTTTTAAAGCACTTAGCACAGTACCCGGGACATAGTGCTATATTTACACTGTACCTCCCCACCAGATTGTGTTATATTACATGTGTGTATTACATATAACAATTGTTCTGTATACATATACACATGTGTATATATGCTATAAT